ATTATGATTAGAAATGGTTTGTAGATGTTTGTAGTGCTTTTTATTTCATTTGTAGTTCAACAGATACCGAAATAAAGACATTTGAAAAAAAATAAAACTTTTTTCTTAAAATCCGGGTGCTAACAAATTGATATTTTATTATGATTAAAAATGGTTTGTAGGTGTTTGTAGTGCTTTTTATTTCGTTTGTAGTTCAACAGATACCGAAATAAAGACATTTGAAAAAAAAATACTTATTTGTTAAGATCCGGGTGCTTACAAATTGACATTTTATTACGATTGGAAATGGTTTGTAGATGTTTGTAGTGCTTTTTATTTCGTTTGTAGTTCAACAGATACCGAAATAGACATTTGAAAAAAAAATACTTTTTTCTTAAAATCCGGGTGCTAACAAATTGATATTTTGTTATGATTAGAAATGGTTTGTGGATGTTTGTAGTGCTTTTTATTTCGTTCGTAGTTCAACAGATACCGAAATAAAGACATTTGAAAAAAAAAAATTTTTTCTTAAAATCCGGGGGCTAACAAATTGATGTTTTATTAAGATTGGAAATAGTTTGCAGATGTTTTTAGTGCTTTTTATTTCGTTTGTAGTTCAACAAATACCGAAATAAAGACATTTGAAAAAAAATACTTTTTTCTTAAAATCCGGGTGCTAACAAATTGATATTTTATTACGATTAAGACTTTTGAAAAAAAAAATACTTTTTTCTTAAAATCCGGGTGCTAACAAATTGATATTTTATTACGATTAGAAATGGTTTGTAGATTTTAAGAAAAAATTATTATATTTTTTTCAAATGTCTTTATTTCGGTATCTGTTGAACTACAAACGAAATAAAAAGCACCGCAAACATCTACAAACCATTTCTAATCATAATAAAATATCAATTTGTTAGCCCCCGGATTTTAAGAAAAAATTATTACTTTTTTTTAAATGTCTTTATTTCGGTATCTGTTGAACTACAAACGAAATAAAAAGCACCGCAAACATCTACAAACCATTTCTAATCATAATAAAATATCAATTTGCTAGCACCCGGATTTCAAGAAAAAAGTATTTTTTTAAACTGTCTTTATTTCGGTATCTGTTGAACTACAATCGAAATAAAACAGAAAAATCAAAACCACTACAAACAACTACAAAAGATTTCCTACAAGGTATACTAGTCCAATTGATTGTAGGTGAAAGTGGGGTGGGGGCGATTTTTTCAACCGATCGTATTTCGTTATCAGTTAAGCTGCAGAAAAAATCAAAACTACTACAAACAACTACAAACGATTTCCTACAAGGTACACTAGTTAAATTGATTGTAGGTGAAATTTGGGTGGGGCGATTTTTTCAACCGGGCGTATTTCGTTATCTGTTAAGCTACAGAAAAAATCAAAACCACTACAAACAACTACAAACGATTTCCTACAAGGTACACTAGT